TCATTACCATTAGCACATTGGCAGGATTGGGGCCTTAGTCTGAGTTGAGGCCGATTCAGAAAGTATGTCATATATACAGCATATGTTCCATGGATAATATGTTGCCCAGCACAAATGGCAAACGTGCAGGGAATACACATTTTCTTCCAGGGCTCTGGATCCTCTGAAAGGTTGGCAGGCTGGGTGCGTGGCGCACATTCTTCGGGAGAGAATTATGGGCTGGGGAACATTCCTCCGACTTCTCAACTCTTTCAATAATTTGCCACCTGTGTAGCCAAGCTGTTCGTTCTGTAAATCTACAGGATCTAAAAACTCTGGCACTTCCTCTGGTTGCCAAAGAAAGCTCACCACAGCGCTGACCCCGATCCATCCAAGCACACGGTGAATACTGCATTAACTAGTTCAAGGTTTGATGCAAAGATTAAACAGCGAGCTTGGAACTGGTGACACCAAATGGACCACACTCTCACGCACGCATTTTCTCTATTTCAGAGGTTTCTGCGCTGCTGTGTAGTTACCGCCACGGTGCAGAGGACTAGGGTTGTATTCCTGAACACAGCTCCATCCTACCATGTGAAAGGAGCAGGATCTGAGCTTCTGCAAAATGATACAACCCTACAAAAAGTAGGCAAACTTGGCCTAAAAGCCAGCAGGCGTTGCTTGTATGCTCCTAATGGAGAAGAGCAAATTTAGTCTCATTGACACTGCTGCCGGATTCACCTTGGTTTATAGTCAGCTCGTACTAAATCACACGCTATAGTTCTCATGCACAGACGTATCAGGGCAATATCTAGGTTGCAAACACACCAGGGAAAAAGCTCACCTGCTAATAACAGCAAACCAGATTTGGGTCTGTACTGCTGGAGGTCCCAGCGCAGGGAGAAAGGGAGGCAGCTTCTAAAGCTCCTACCCACGAGCAGCTGTTTTCTGTGTTGCACAAGCTACGGCTGTCTTGCTATCAACTCTAGCTTCAGTGGCATTTTACAGGGACACAGAATTGCTGGAGCAGAAGTGTGCCCCATTCACGGTCTTCTCCACCTCCTGTAAGTCTATTTCCAACCCAGAAAGCCTTTCCTGCAGAGGAAATGGAAGGAGCTGGTGAAGAAACCTAGCATTGATGTTACTTTCCCTGGAAAAAAAATACACATCTCCTCAGATGCCCATTTTGAGCATGCTAGGCTGGGTAACAAAATTCAAAGTGCAACTTCAGTAAGGCCCTGAAATGGTTTCCCTTTATTTTGTGATAGCATAGCAAGATTCCTAGGGGGCTTCTCCTACATTAATATTAGAAGACCAGTCTTTAAATTTAATTTTAACCTTTTTTATATATAAATAGGTTTGATTTACAGAGGGGAAATTCCATTCAGAGAAGGGAAAGCCTGCATACCTACTGAGCTTTGTCTAATCTCTTGGGGTTAACCTGGACTTTCTTTCACAGTACCCTGATTCCTCATTTCAGAAGAGGAGATCTGTCTCTCTTTCTCTGCCCCAAATCCTTCCCAGCACTGAGCTCTGCAGAACTGGTAATGAGGGACATCTTGGAGCAGCGAGAGTTCAAATCTCTGTTCATTGTCTTCAGATGGACATCTGAGCCTTTATGCTGAAAGCATTATCTGCAATTTCAGAACCATCCCAGGCAGCCTCTGCTCCCAGACACCACTCCCAAATTACTGATACAGCTTGTAATTTACTATTACAGTTTTGACATCTGCTTTTTCCCCAAACACATTGAGCTCCTTACCCTATTCCCAAACCCAATACACACAGGCATTGGAAAATCATAGTCCCTCTTCAATGCTCTGTGACCTAGTCTATCAGGAAACCCAGCACTGTTGCTAGAACACTCCAGTTTTTCAGTTAAAATGGCCAGAGTTCAACCATTTTGTTGCTAGCAATCTGAATGTCTGTGCGCATGTGTGCATGAGAGAGGCAGTGGGAGTGCGTGAATATGTAGGTTCACCCTCTGCAACGGTCCCCATGGTAATTCTGTCTGCGTTTCAGCACATACAGTGCCTGGCCACAGCCACCTATTCCAGGTTTCTCTATCTAATCATTGGCAAGGGCAAAGCTGTTAGAAACTAGACTCAGTAACTGGCTTTTAATTTTGCAGCCAGAGGTTGTCAGGACAAGGAAGAGAAAACTGCCAACTATGTCTCCTCCGTACAGTCTCTGTCTTTTAACAACGATACAGGAGCTGGAGGTGGAAAACCTCGACAGAGGAAAATGAACCTTCCCCTCTTCCTAGCCACAGTGATTGCCCCCACCCCAAATCCTCACGATCAGGGGCTTGTATCTCAAATCATTCTGTGGGAAAAAGCTATACACGTTGCCTAGGGAAGAAATCTTGTCAAACATGCAAAAGCCAACAATGCTGTATGAAACATGGTTTACGATATACTCTGGCTTTTTCTGCCTCTCCAGCAGCTGACCTGTTCCTGAGCACTGGAGATGGGCAGATTATACCAGGGCTGGTATCAGGCAAAAGCATGGACAAAGGTAGAAAGCTGCTCTCCACTGCTGAGGAACGGAAAAAACTCGCATCTCCGCAGAGCTGTAAAACAGAATGCAGGATACACCCCTCAACAGTAATTGCATTTCTACAGACATCATGAAAATCACAAGCTGGGTGGACAGGGACCCAAATGAATGCCATCCCCGAGGAAAATGCAGGCAGGACTCCACTGCTGTGTATTCTGCACGGCGAGCACCAGACTGCCAGCTACACCATCCCTTGCAAGACAGAAGGATCATACAGGAACTGCACAATGGTGGTTTTTAGTGATAGCTTTAAGGAGCAGAAAGCACCCATGAAACCAGACTTCATTCACCCCACTTTTACAGAACAACTTGGTTTTGTCAGCCAATTGCAACGTCCATGAACTCTTTGTGGGCAGCTGTAGCAGAGGGTAACTTTTTCCCTGTGATATCAGAATTTCCATGGAAAGAGGTGCTGGTTTACAGCTCTTGTGATAGCGGCGACAGGAGGGGGAGTGGAGAACAGGGGCTGAGGAAGGAGGAAACCTGAAAGGCAGTGGTGGCAAACACTGACAAAAAAAAGGACTGAGCTCTGGCTCTGATCATCTGTGATAGAAAGTGTGACTCTGGAAAGATGGTCCTTCACAAATTGAAATTACAATTAAGTATCCTCATCTCCCTGGTCAATCAAAGGAACGGGTTTCAGGGGGATTGTAACGTAGGACACTAAGATTAAAAATCATTGCTTTGATTGTCATTTTGATCCAAATAATTTTCTAAGCAATTTTTTTTAATTTATTTTTCCTGAAATTAACTTTCTCCCTAAGGTTTACAAGTTTGCTTCCCCCCACAGCCTAAGCATCTATCCCATCGTGAGAACTGCATCTTCAAAAGCAGCAGCAAACAGGTAGGATTTCTCCCTTCCTCAGTCTCCTACTGACCCGAACTGTGTGAACTATCTAAAGCTTTCTTTGAGGGCATGGATATAGGGAGAGTTCCCAGATCTCATAAATTTTGTCCGAGAGATCTGATGCAAGGAGAGGTCCACAGTTCTCATCCCTGGCGGATAGGCTGCTTTATCTAAGACACCACAGTTTAATATGCTTGCCTGTGTGCTATGATGTTGGGCAAAAATACCCAGATAGATTAGATTAAATGCTATGTTTTTCTTGTGCCCCAGCCACAGATCTCAAAACTACGAAACACTGCTTGACCTAGGTCACACAGCCAGCCAACTTGTAAGAGGAACCCCATGAATCCTCGTTATCCCTGCTACCAGGTTTACCCCTTCCCCCACACCCTGAAACACCAATTGCATGTCCCTTTGTGCCACGCTGAGAAACAGATCACTGCATCCACCTACAGATAAAGGAAGACGCCTAACATAGGAACTGTGAGCAGTGCTTCGTTAACAACGGCAGCATCAGCACTGCTCTCCCGTCCCATCACCATCAAGGCGGTTCCAGACAAGCTGCCATGGCTGGGGATGGTGACAGCATTTAGCTGAAGCAAGAAGCTGCTCTGGGTGCTGCAGCTGGGAGACATCCTGGGTATGAGAGGTTTGCACTAAGGCTTTACCTCTCCTGCATCATGGATGCTCACAGTCTCCTTGAGTAATTTGTTAATTGGGAGGAATTTTCACCTGGGGCAGTCCCCAGTAAATCCTGGGCTGGATTCTCCTTCATGCAGTGTACTGTTGAGAGGCTGGTTTTGCCTTTGAGGTTGCTCACTCCCAGCCGTGCAGAGGGAAGGAGCCCTTCCCAGGACAGCGGGAAACTCGTGCAAAAAATAACCACCTTCTCCTTAGCTCCTTTTCTGCTGTAAGCGGCTGCGATTTACGCGGGCAGAGAGAGACCATCCCTCTGGCTTCTGCTGCTTGTTCCCCAACGACGCTAAGGATGAATTACGTCCCTGCTTCGCGGGGTGACGGCGGAGGAGAG